CTCAGCACGGGGCACCGCGGGGTGGTGGCCGGTGCATCTCCTGCTGTTTTTTTCGCTTTTCCAGGTCTGCCGGGATGGTGTAAAACGGCCCTTGTGTCGCGGGAAACTCTCCAGATGGCCCAGGAGGCTTAGCATCTGGGCGTGTCTGTGGGGCGTGTCGTGGATCTCCCTGCGGTCTGTGAGTATTGCCCTGCAGTGCAGGGTTCGGAGCACAGTGGACAAGAGACGCGTATTTTTTTCTGGAGGTGGAGGCTGCTGAGCAGGGTTGAGGTTGGTTGTACTGGTGTGTGCAGGAGAGGCCAGGCAGGTAGTGGTGAAGTTGCTTTTGAAGTACCTCGAGTGCTCTAATTGTGAGACAGGAGCCAGTGTACTTAAACTTATCCCTGACAGACATTTCCTTAATTGGCTCTTACAGATGATGAAATTCGTGGAGTGCTTTCCCCCTCTCTCTGAGGTAACCTGCTCCGGTGCTTAGCTATCACCTATAGTCAGAATTTTTCCTTAATAGCTGACCTAAATCTTTGTTGAATCTAAGCTGATTATTATCTCGCAGTACCCAGAGTATACCTGGGGAACAATAGATCAGTGTTTTCCTGTCAGCAGACTGGTGGGTGTTTGCAAGTTTGCACTCAAAATCTTCTCCAGACCAAGATAATCCACTTCTCATGTTTCTTTGGTCCCTGAGCTCTGTTGAGCATTTCCATCATCCTTGGACTCAGAACTGGGTGCAGTACTCCAGTGGAGGTGCTGTTAGCAGTGAGGATGTGGGGTCATTCTCTCCTTGGTCTATGGCATCCCTCTTAAAAACATTCCAGAATGATACTGTCCTGTTTGGCAACATTCTCACATTACTGAAATATTCAACTTGTGATCCACTGTAAGCCAGATCCTTTTTTTTCTGTGTCTCTACCTAGGAAGTTATTCCTGAAGAGGTATCCAAGTTGGTGGATTTGGGGTTTTTTTGCTAAGTATATTATTTTGCACCTTTTACTAGTTTGAGAAGAAGTTACCTTGGTCATCATCACATAACTTCCTATGCAGTTTTAGTCTTTGAAATCCTGTCTTGCAATCCCCTTCCTCCAAGTTTAGGGTCATTAACAGGTAGTTAATGATAATACTAAGTGGTGCCAGGCTCTGTACATTGTGATAAACCCTCCCAGTTTGACTTTCTTAAACAGTTCTTGTTTTTCATGTTTTCTGCTCAAGTTGCAACTCATTCTGTGCCATGGCCTGGCAGCTGAGCCAAATCCTATGGATTCCTTTGAATTGGCTTTCATGCGCAGAGTAGGGATTGCTCACAGCTCAAGAACTAGAAATACCTGTAAAATCCTGAACTTTTCCAAAGTGTTGGTGCCTTGTATATGGCTTCTTTTAAATCTTTTCTCATTCATTTAATCAGAAAAATCTGCTTTGATCCCAACTTTCTTCAGAATTGCATTTGCTTTTTTAGAGATCTTTCTGGAATTAGCATGCAAATGCTTCCTTCTCACACGCTTAAGTCAGGATCAGATTGGGAGATAATACATTAATGCTTGGTTATAGTTGTAAGGGATTATTCATCTGATCTCAAATGATCCATGAAGTTGAGAGTGAGAGGTGATATTTTGAGAATTGTGAAGAGTGAAGTAATTAGAAAATATTCTGAGAACAGCAACTTGTCAACTAGAATGAAAGGACTGGTCTTGTGGTGAAAATGCAGCAGACAGCTGACAGTAAGCCTATCTAAACAGCAAAGTTTCTTTCCCTTAAAATTGCATTTCGCAAAGGAAACATCGTAAACAAAAAATTATAGGGTTGGGCATTAAGCATAGATCGACATTACGTGTTTATTGTCTTTCCTGGAAGGAAGAGTCCAGCGTTAGCAGGATTGTAAGCTGAATAATCATACAGGTATTGTCCTCTATCCTCTACCATCATTTATTATTCTCATTCTGTTTTGTTTAGATGTCTCACATTAAAAATCATGGAGCTGGGAAAGGCAAAGCTGCTGCGAACTGGCCTCAATGCCTTATACCAAGCAATTCACCCCGTGCATGGGATTGCCTGGACAGATGGGAAGCAGGTGATACTGACTGCTTTACACCTTCATAACGGAGAGCCCAAATTCGGTGACTCGAGCGTGGTGGGTCAGTTTGAACACGTGCACGGGCTGTACTGGGGCCCGTGTCCCCCCGACGCCCCGGCCCTGCTCGCCGTTCAGCACAAGAAGCACATCACCATTTGGCAGCTCTGCTTTAACGCCACCGACAGAAACAAGCTCCTGGTTTCCCAGATCTGTGACATCAGCGAGCCGTTCCCTGTGCTCCCCCAGGGCTGCGTGTGGCATCCCAAGAAGGAGGTCTTAGCTGTGCTGACTACCCGGGACGCCTCCGTCTTACCCTCTGTCCACCTCAACAGCTCCAGGATTAGCGCGGATATCAAAGGCACTGGGCTCATCCACTGTGCCTGTTGGACCAAGGAAGGCAACCGCTTGGTTGTTGGGGTGGGCAGTGCCCTTCATTCTTACATTTGGGATGATGCTCAGAAAACACTGAACGCTTGTTCTTTCTGCCCAATCTTTGATGTGGGAGGATACATCTGTGCCGTGGAAGCTACGCAGAATTTCCAAGTTGCTGTTGCCACTGAGCTTCCTCTAGACAAGATCTGTGGCTTAAATGCTGGTGTTGCATTTGAAGTTCCAGCGAGCGTTGAGACTGAGTCCTTCCCCTCGCAGTCCAGTTTGTGTGGGGAGGAGGAGTATTCCATGGATGGGGGCAAGAAGTCACTGGACTCTGAGAAGTCCTTGTCTGCAGTTACGTCTCCTGTGGATCTAACTCACATACTTTCTAGCAAGCCAGGTGCTGATTCCAGCCCTCTCCTTCACCTGAGGCCCAAGGACTACCTGACAGGAAGTGGCCAAGATTCTTCACACCTCATCTTGGTGACTTTTGAAAGAAAGGTTACCACTACCAAAAAGGTTAGCATCCCAGGCATCCTGGTTCCTGATATAATGGCTTTTGACCCCAAAACTCAAACTGTATCGGTTGCTTCCAATACTTGTAATGTTATTTTAGTCTATTCGCTGACTTCTTCCAATTTACCCAACATTCAGCAAATTCAGCTAGAGAAAAATGAGAAACCAAAGGGTTTGTGCTTCTTGACTAATAAATTGTTACTGATACTGGTTGGAAAACAAAAATTCAGTGACCCTGCATTTCTTCCCTCTTCAAGATCAGACAAATACATGATCCGATTGATGATTAAGGAACTAATATTTGAAATGGGTCCTTCAGCATGTGCGTCAGTTAATGGCAGCTCCAGCCTGAACCTTTCCAGCATACCTCATGATGCCTCCAGAGAGGTTCACCCTCTCAGCCGTGGGCTCCTGATTCCAGACCGCTCTGCCCTTCAGTCCCCTACGAGCCGAAGGAGACTCATCGAAGAAATCAAGAGTCCTGTTTGTGAACAGAACTTGGTATTGAATGTGAATGACCTCAAAGATAAAAAGATGTCCATGAATTTTCCTCCAGTTCTCGAGACTCTGGATGCTGAACCAGTGAATCGGTCTGTGGCACTGTCTGCTGCATCCAACAAGCCAACATCTCCCAAGAGGCAGCCAGAGGCAGCTTCCAAAATACCAAACTCCTACAAGAATAACCTGTTCAGTGAAAGGGAGGCAAATTACTTCTTGAAAAATGTAGAAAAACTCTCTGGTAACTTCACAGAATTGCAGCATCGTCTCTGTGAATTGACTGAGCTGCTAAAATCTGGGAAGAGAAACCTTCCGGTGTATCCATCTTCTCAGGAACCCTCTATTATTAACATCACCTGCCAGGTAATTTTGATATCGGAAGCCTTAATGATGAAATCTGTTTATGGCTGTATGTACTTTGTAGTGCCTAAGTAATGGTCAAGAGGATTAGATTTGCATCCTGTTCCTGCAGTGGGACTGCTGTTACAAGTCCCAGTACTCTGCAGGCTTCCAGTGTTTTTAAAGCAATGGGATATCCGGGAATGTGCAGCTCCCTGACCCCACCTCGCCCTGGGCCAGGGCCCTCATCTCTGGCCCAGGCAACTGTGCCTGCTCCCTCTGCACAGAGGCTGCTGGGACTCCAGAGCACCCACGTGTGACAGCTCAGGTGTGGAATTAAAGCCTTGTATGGAGTTCTAGAGAGGGAATGTTTTTCCTAAGCAGTTTCTGAAGCTTTCTGTATAGAAATTTAGTTTAGCGAAGATTTCCACGTGTGGGAATTGGTATCAATCTCTTGCTCTCCTGCGAGGGCAACTAAAATAATGGAGACTGAAACAAAAGCAAATTGCTTTGGCTCTGAAACTGAAATGTTGCTGATGAGCATTGAGAGCACCATCTGAGGAGGAAGTGGACCCTTAGGGACACAATAGATTATTCCATTAACATAGCTTTAAAATGGATTTTAAATGAAATTTCATGTGAAAAACACTTTGCCTGAAAGATTTGCTCTTGTAAATCTCATGCTGGAAAGGGTAAGTTACATGATTATCAAAACCTGGCACAGATCTACTAGGTCTCTCTTAGAATTCAGATTAATAAACCTTAGTCAATATTCAAAGTAATTTAAACTGCCATTTTACTTTCAATAAGCTCTTATTTTATGTTTTATTATTGCAAAAAGTTATCAACTTTTGTAGCACTGAACTCTTAGATCCTAGATCCTATTCCCTCACTCTCCTCACTTCTTCCCGTTGTAAACATTTAATAATTGTAGTAACCTCTTTTTTTCAGCTGTCTTAAATATTAGTTATGTGTAGGGCATTACTCTGAGAAGTGAACATTTCCTGCAGCAAACCTTATGTCTCGTTTATCTGAGGTGTTTTTAGAAACCTATTTTAACTCGAGGCAGCACAAATCAGTGTGAAACTTTGATATTCAGCTCTTTTCACATATGGTTTGAAACTGAGTTCTGTGTATCACCTTGTCTTGGTGTTCAAGGCCAGGTTGGATGGGGCCCTGAGCAACCTGGTCTAGTGAAAGGTGACCGTGCCAGGGGGTTGGAACTAGATGAGCTCTAAGGTCCCTTCCAACCCAAGCCATTCTGTGATTCCAAGAGCTGGATTAGCTACACTTGCTTGTAGCTTCACAAATTAAAGCACTGCCACAATTTCACCTATGTATTTTGATCACTGATGATCTGTGGCAAGAAAAGTGTTTGACTAGAATTCCAAGGGAAATTGGAAGGTCTGGAAATGCTGTGTTTTAACGTCAGTCAGAGTACTTTTGGTTCAGAATGGTTAAGAGGTAAACAGGGATCCTCACCTCGTGTGCTGGGCCCTGATCATTTCTCTGTTGCCCAAAGGGATTAGCTGTGTTTTACAAGAGGAAACCCAAAATGTCCCAGATAAGCAGGTTTATGAGAGGGCAGAGGTTATCAGTGCAGAAGGCAAAGAGCATGTGAGAATCTTCAATGCAAGAGCCTTGAAGCTGTGTCAGGGGAGGTTGAGGTTGGGTATTAGGAAACCAGAGGGTGATTGGGCACTGGAATAGGCTCCCCAGGGATGTGATCACAGCACTAGGCCTGTCAGAGTTCAAGAAATGTTTGGACAAGGCTCTCAGGCACATGGTTTGATTCTGGGGGCTGTCCTGTGTGGGGCCAGGAGTTGGACTTGATGGGACTTGTGAGTGCCTGCTGACTCACAATATTCTACAGTTCTGTCATCTCTGCCCTCCCCCTGCCCTCCACTCTCTGTGGGTGTATGGATCTGTCCACAGCAAGGAAAAGGAGTCAGAATTTTTTGTCATGACCCAGGGATGTTATCAAGGCTTCCCTGGAAAGTGATGTGGTTGTGTGAATTTGACCCTACACAAAGACACTATTTGTAGTTTTGGTAAAAACTGATCTTTTGTAGATTTTAAAAATACTTTCCTCTGCCCCAAGGAGGATATTCTTTGAAGAGGGTTTTTGGATTTAGGGCTTTGGGAGTGATGGTCAAACAAACAAGCCCTTCTGAGTGTGTTCCTTGCTCCAGCATTCATGAGCAGGTGTTCTCACCTCTTAAGCTGTGGATCAGAGAGGGACAAGGATGGGAAACCTGCAGCTCTACAAACTCCCTAGGGAAATGTCCCTCACAGATACAAGGATGAGAGTGCGGATTGCGCTGTGGATAAAGCTCGTGATTTCTTCAGCAGCAGTGCATGATTTCTTCTCCTGTGGTTCTGACGTGCTGGATGAGCAGCGTTTCTTGCTGCTCTTGCTTACACATCAGCACTTTGGGAGCTGAGACTTTAAATCTTGCAAATGGGTCTGGATGAATGTAGCATTTGACTTCCTGTAAATGATGTTGCTGAAGGCAGGTCTGTGATCCTGGTTTGATTAATGCCATTTTGACATCTCTACTTAAATATACATCAGAGTAGCTAATGACTTTATTTTCACTTACAGAAGCAGCTTTCCAGAAGTGAGTCCGATGAAAGTCGGGTTGTTCTTCTTTGTGGTGGTAAACTGCGCCTAAACGTCATCCAGCAGATATTCAACCTGTCTCTTGTAGAAATGCAACACGGTAGGTTGTGATTATCCAAGAATACAAACACTTTAAACATGTGTTGCCCAGAGAAGCTGTGGCTGCCCCATCTCTGGAAGTGTTCCAGGCCAGGCTGGATGGGGCTTGGAGCAACCTGGGAATGTGTCCTTGCCCATGGCAGAGGTTGCAGCAAGATGATCTTTAAGGTCCTTCCAACCCAAACCATTCCATGATTTTATGTGACATTCTCAGTATGCAATAGCAATATGCATATTCCATCTGTGGAAAAATCCAAGGAATAAATAATGAAAGATTATTAATAAAAGTTTGCTCATTTGTTTTAGAACTTAGAGATTCTTCTCTGATCTGATTCTGAGAAGAATATTTACATTATAAAAAAGAAGGTGCAAACTTTTTCATATTGATACCTCCTAATCAAGTAACTAGTTCTACAGGGAAGTTACTGTCAGCCACTGTTGTATTTATGTTTTCAGCTACTCTAAAGAGAGAAGTCTGAATAACAAGGAGGTTAGAGTTGACCAGTGATTTGGGAATGCAGTTTTCTATATTTTAATCTGTAGCTCCAGCATCTGGTCTCCTTTAAGAAATCCTGCAGTTTTTCTGAACACAGAAGCAGCTCTGTATGTTTTAGCAGTGCATTTCACATCAGTTTTTGCAGTGAAAAAAACTACCCCTTACTGCTGTGGTCTCCTCTGCTCTTATCAGTTCATGCCAGGCCCATCTGGTGGGTCTGTGTATCTGTCAATTCTGAGTGCCTTACCCTTGGCAAAGGTAGAAAACACACTTCTGGGACATGATTTCTCACTACAAGGATTCCTTATCCCATATTCCAGCTACTTTCCCACTGTGTCTGCTGCCTGCCATGCTTGCAGATCACTGAGCAGCCATCCCAAAGCCTTGAAGCTGCTGTTTTTACCATTGTGCAGGTTCCTTAAGTAGTTGTCGGAATATGTTTGTTTGAAATATGAATAGGCAAAGTAGGGATAATATTTTGAAATTCCTGACTTGTATTGATTTTCAAGTTTGGTCTAAATGAGATATTAAGCCAAAAGATTAAAGGGTTGTTGCTTTTAAGCTACAATCTACTTGTGACCTTACTTGTGACATGAAGTTATGTAATGTAAGTTTAGAAACAGCTGGAAATGTTTCTCTGAATTCCCTCACCCCCCAAGCTCTGTTTTATTGCGTCATCAGCTTAATGGGTACAAGTATGAAAATTTTCTGGTTTATATGACCTGGTAGAAGTCAGTGTTTTGGATCCAGTAAACGATTTCTAATTGTAAAAAAATAATGCCAATGATGAACAGCATGGCCAGCAGGTCAAAGGAGGTGATTCTCCTCCTCTACTCTACTCTTGTGAGAGCCCAACTGGAGTACTGCATACAGTTCTGGTGTCCCCAGCATAAGAAGGACGTGGAACTGTTGGAGCAAATCCAGAGGAGGGCACAAGTTAAGAGGTCTGGAGCACCTCCCCTACAAAGACAGACTGAGAAAGTTTGGGCTGTTCAGACTGGAGAAGAGAAGATTGTGTGGAGACCTCATAGCAACAGTATCTGAAGGGGCCTACAGGGATGCTGGAGAGGGACTCTTCGTTAGGAACTGCAGTGATAGGATAAAAAGTAATGGGTATAAATCAAAAGACAGGATTTAGATTAGATCTTAGGAAGAATCTTTTTACTGTGAGGGTGGTAAGACACTGGCACAGGTTGCCCAGGGAGGTCGTGGATGCCCCAACCCTGGCAGTGTTCAGAGCCAGGTTGGATAAAGCCTTGAGCAACCTGCTCTGGTGGGAGGTGTCCCTGCTGATGGGAAGGTTGTGACTAGATGATCTTTAAGGTCCATTCCAACCCCTTAACATTCTATGATTCTACATTCTATAATTATAGGAAAACTTACCAAGAGACATTTATGTGTCTTCACAGGTTCCTCTTGGATTGTTCTCACAGCAGACAGCGAGGGCTTTGTCCCATTAACATTTACATCTGAGCAGGAGGTAGTTGTAAGAGATGCCAGTACAAAAGGCTACAGTGCCCGTTCCTCCAAAACTTTGGACATCATCAGTTCTACACAGGAGTGTAGATCTGCTTCTTCTGAGAGCCTGGATATCACCAGTTCTGTGGAAGCCCTCAGAGACTGCTCCTCCAAGCCCTCGGACAGCAGCAGTCCCTCCACACAGCCCAGCAGTAAAATGTAGTTGTTGACAGTGATGTTGCAGTGCCTGTCTGATGATGGGAGGGTTTCACATTTGCTGTATAGGACTGCACATTCTCAACAACAGTCTCAAATCTCTGTTGGATTTTTTGTTTTGTTTCATATCACTGTAAATTATTTATTTGACCCTTGGAAACATTAACTTTTTTTTTTTTATACTGAGCGGTGTTTTTTAACTCTGCCTCTTGCAGTGCAGACCAGGTCCTTGTACCAGTGGTGGAAAAGCAAGTTGTTACAAGCTTACAAGCTCAAGTTTCCATCTTGATCTTTAATAGGATGGTGTTAGAGATAACGGTAAACTTGCATAATAAAGATATCCTTGAACACGCAGCATTGTCCCTCATTTCCTCACTGCCAAAGCCTGAAGTATTACCATGGTGTTGTTTGGGAACAGTGCTTGCAGAAGTGCCCCTGGGTTTGCACTGGTGTTACTAAGGGGGTAAGCACCAGTTTAGGTTCATGGAGTTCAGGGCAAAGTATGCTCATGTGGAATATCCATGGTATGTAGGAGCAAGATCCTTTTCCCCTCCTGCCCATAATGCCTCCCTGTGCTTGCTCCTCTGTGGGGAAGTGGCTGTCACGTGTGTCATCTTTTGCAATGAGAACATTCACTTAAAGGGTGACAAGAAAATGTTCATGGGCTTTCACAGCGAGAGAGAGAGAGAAAAGCAAAAGGGAAATTTATTAAATAAAGTTTATGTAAGCACAAGTTTATGTAATGTGGATTGCAGCACTGAAGAAAAGACTAATCCAAGATTGCTCCCCATAAAATCAAAGCACGATAACATTAAGCAGTTTATCAGGCTTTCACAGTGGCAGTTACTGCGTGAGAAAGCATCAAGTGACTAGATTATAGAACTGGAGCTGCTGTCTCAGGACTAAGATAATCTGGGGGGGTTTTTATTGCCTATGTGGAAATCTAGCCACTGTCAAATCATCTGTCCACAAAAATATGAAATTAAAGATACAATATTAGCAAAAGCTGCAGGGAGCACTCAGTGTTGGGTGGTACAATGTGAAGTTGCAGCTTTTGATGAATAGGGGAGGAGGAAAGCAGGTGAAATATTTGGCAACTGTGGACTTGATCCTGCACTTAACAGTTACCCTTTCTCAGTAATTGTCACTGTTTAATCAGGAGGTGGTCCTTGATTACTGCTGCCCTTACCAGAAAGCTGAACATTAAATGAAGGCCCAAATCACTGAAGAGGTACCAAGCATAATCCCAAGAGTCCTTAGGAGATGATTCCAGGGTGTTTATAGGGAGTTTCCTTCTCTTATGGCTCTTTCACCTCCACAAGTCTGGGAATTCTGGAGTTGCTCATTCTCTCTGCCTGGCCAGCACAACACAGCTGAGATTTTTCCAGGAATCCAAAGGTGGTTACAACTTTGCTTCATCCCGCACTGATGTCAGCAGGTATGCCTAGGAACTGAGGCTCATGATTTGGCATGGCCAACACTGGCAGAATTGTTGAAGGTGCTGGATGTGGCAGATGAGCAGATTCTATTTTATCAGTTTGAAGATGACCAAAGGGTGAGTTTGTTTTGGAAACACAAGGAAAGTATTTCTTAATGGGCTGCAGCCAACTTGAACAGAAACTCTTCAGCCAGTGTAAACCTGGTTACATCATCATGGTGACAAGGTGGTGACCTGAGTTGGCCTTAGGCAGGCAAAAACATCCTCTAGGTAAAACAGAGATGAAATTCTGTGGTGGAGAATACTAAAATGTGAAGGAAATCCTCCTGATCCTTTGCTAAATGTAGATGATTCCACACACATCAGCAAAGACACACTGACGGGATAGGTGCTGGTCTCCAGAGTGTACCTCCATCAGCAGAGCTGGGCAAGTGACTCAGTTCCATAGGATCTGAGCAATCCTTTCTCACCATCTACAGCAGAGCATAGCAAAAATGAGGACAGACAGCTGAAGGGTGGGTGTAGCTGAAACTCGTAGGCTTGTCTAACATCATTTGGGATATGAAATAGATCAGGAAATAAGATTTTTTCTGCTGCCACACTTCTAGAGCAAACATGCACATTTCCCAATAATTCAACCACATTGTTGCTCTCCAGCTGAGGTCAGAGGCTGCTGCTCTGTAACGTCTCAAGTGGTACTGAGGACCCAACCTCTCTGCAAAGTGCCACGGCTTGAGGACCATTATTCCTGGCGTTTGTTCAGCTCTGTTGTGCCAGTTTGTGTCTTCAGAGACTGTTAATTCTCAGGTGCAACATAGCAAAAAATCTCCTCTGCCTCAGGGACTGACATGTGCTGCTGCCTCATCTTTTGAATGAAGCTTCCCAGTGAGTTAGCATTTGGTTTATGCATCGGATTTGGAGTTTAGTGACATGAAACTTCTGAATTGATACTTTCAGCCTAAACATACACACATTTTTGTAACTATGATACTCAGCAGTCTTACTGGGTATCTGAACCATTGTCTGGCAGAGAGTTAAGGTTAAAAAAAAAAGCATCCAGTGGAGCACAAGGAACTTGTGATCTCAAAAATTGCAGAAAACCAGAATTACTTGGAATGCAGAAGAAGAAAAGAGGTGAGATGATGCAGCAGGGAGTGAATCGAGTAGTAATTCTTATAAGGTGCAGGAGTGACTTAAGGAATTAGTACTCAAATCTTCAGAGCCCTTCCTGAAAACTCAGTGACCTGACACAGAAGGTCCCAGCCTTCAGGGACTTCCCAGAGACAGATGTCTGAGGTGGTATCCACCTATTAAAGTGGGGGAGTGAGAACAAGGGATCTAATCCACCTAAGCTGAGGCAGGTCAGTAAGCTCAGGGGCAGACAGCAAGACAGAATTACACAGTCTGCAGGAGGCACAGCCCATGGCCGACAGCAGCCCCCTCCATCTGTGCCTTGTGGGGAACAGCAGCTTGGACATGTGGTTACCTGTGACCTGTGAGGAGCAGATCACCAACAGCAATGCTCATTATTGTTAGAAACTACAAGGGGGATGAAACCAGAAGAGGAGACTGGGTTGATGGTTGGACTTGAAGATCTTAAAGGTCTTTTCCAGCCTTAATGATTCTGTGATTCTATGACTAATGACTAGCTCAGCTACTGACTGCCAGCAACCAGCCCAGTATGGAAGATTTGGGCTGCCATCACTATACTTCAGCAAGGACAAGGAATTGGCATGGTTTGCTTTATGGAGCACTACCCAGTGACACATAACTCCTTTATCCTTCTCTTCTCTTTCTCTATTTGTGTAAATTCTTTTGTTGGAATTGCTTGCATGCAGGTGGGGAAGTTCTGTCCATTAGGCACCCAGCTGGTTTAATCCAATCTCCCATATTCCTACCACTATATTTGGGTATTGCTTGAATGAGAACCCCTGGGGATTGA